TCTCTCTCTCTCTCACTCTGCTCTCTCTCAAATAAATAAATAAAATCTTTAAAAAATTGTAAGAACCAAATATAGCAGTGAAAAAGGCCTCAGATGGAGGCTTGCAGAGATGTAACTTCTTTTATTTCAATAACTTGAATAATTTTTTGATTCTCAGTCTCCTGTCTTAACAGCAGACCGTTTGATCTTCTGTTTGTTTTTTTTATGGATTGTCCTCAGTCTTATTGGGGTAAATAATAAATTCAGGTTTTATAAGTGAGTTACATACAGGTTTAAATATTCTTAATTGAAGGTTCAGACCTACTTTCACTTCTGCAAGATGCTGGTGAGGCTTTAAGTCCCAGGACAGGTGTTTGCCTAACCCTTGTCCAGCTCTTCATGCTGTGGAAACTCTTGTTCCTCTCATGTTTATGGACTGTACCATAAAGCCACTTAAATTCCTGCTCTTCCCTTAGCTCTTCCATGTTCCTGATGGGGGAATGTGGTACTGTTGCCATGTTCTTTCTCCATAATGGGATGCTGTGGACTCATCTGCCCTGATCTAGTCCTCAGTTATGGCTTCTCTATCATGCTAGGGTGTCTATTGGAAGCTAGATGTCTCCTAAGGCTACCCTCTGGTTTGAGCCACATAGCATCATTAAACTTATCTGGGTTTAATCACCATCAGCTTGTCACCTTGAATTCTCATTCTGGAAGGGGACAGGATACAGGATCACTTGGGACCCACACTGTCCACTTTTGTGTAGCTCAGTCTCTATTCCATCCTTTCCTCTCTCAAGCTCTTAACTGCATCTCCTTTCTCAGAAGACAGAAGGTGGGTCCCTTTCTGAGGCAGTCAAGGATTGGCTAGCATAATTCTCCCCAAGCACTTATATGTCAAAGATTGATAAGGTCTATTGTGAAGCTCAAAAGTAAATAAAATGCATTTCTGTAATATTTTTTACCTCTCTCTCCATAGTTTATTTTGAGGGAAGAACATAGGATTCTTTACTGGTAAAGAAAGTAATGGGTACAAAGAAACACAGGTTGGTAAAACAAACAAGCAAACATCTTGCTTACTACCTGGTTTGTGTGAGAATTAGACAAAAGTGGGATTAGAGAGATTGTTAGGGATGTGACTTGCCACTCAATATCTCAGTAACCATTGACTCTCCCCAAACCACTTCTCTTACAGGTTTTCAAATTCAGTAGCAGCACAACCCTTCCAACAGGTTAGGTGGAAAACTTGGTGTCTCGCCTAACTACCCTCTCTCTTCCCCTTTGTCTCCGATTGGTCAGCAAATCCTGTTGGCTCTACCTTCAGAGTATATCCAGATTCTGCCTGCTTCCTACATTTCCATTGCTACTGCTCTAATTCAAGCCACATCATCTCTCTTCTCATTAATTGCAGTATTCTACCAAATGGTCTTCCTGCTTCCACCCTTATACCTTTTTTTTTTTTTTAAGATTTTATTTATTTATTTGAGAGAGAGAGAGAGAGAGAGAAGGAGAGATAACATGAACAGGGGGAGGAAGACAAAGGGAAAAGGAGAAGCAGACTCCCTGCTGAGCAGGGAGCCCCATTTGGGGCTTGATTCCAGGACCCTGAGATCATGACTCGAGCCAAGGGCAGTTGCTCAACTGACTGAGCCACCCAGGTGCCCCCCACCCTTATAGCCTTTAAAATCAGTTCTCCTCCACAGCCAGTGCGATCCAGTGAAAATATAAGTCAGTTCATGTTATTTCTCTGTTCAAAATGTTTTCTCATCTGACTCCAGGGAAAAGCCAGAACCTCACTCTGAACTGCAGGCCTTTCTCCAGTCCTCCCGGCTCATCACCGCTGCTTCTCTAGCCTCTTCTAGGACTTGCCCCTTTGCTCACTCAGCTTCAGCCACATTAACCTCCTTCTGGTACTTCAAACATAGACCCTTGCTCTTGCCTCAGAGGCTTTGTTCTTGTTCTTCCTATTAGTGTCTGCTTGGTTCATGCCCCCTTCTCCTTCGGGTTCATTCAAACATTACCTTCCCAACGAGACCTATCCTGGCAAGCTGTTGAAAATGAATTATTTTCCCTTATAGCCTCCTCTCTCCCTGTGTCCTGCTCTATTTTTCTTTGTAGTCTGTATCGCTGCCTATTAAGATTTACATTTTATTTGTAGTCTGTTTCTTCCCATTAGAATGAAAGCTCCATGAGGCAGTGATTTCTGACTGTTTTGTGCACTACAAAATCCCAGGCCCCAAGATGAATATCTGACATGTGGTAGGCCTTCAGTAAATATTTGTCAAATGGATGAATGAATAGTATAACTGCCAGACTCCGTGGACGTATCCCACAGCAAGTGGGAGTAGACAAGCTTTTTGAGCAAGGGTCACATTGACGTACATGTTCTGTGAGGTTTGCTGTGGTATCAGTGTCCAGGTTGGACTGGAAGAAGGAGAAAATAGAAGTTTGGAGATTCGTTAAGAAAAAGCGAAGGTCTAAATTGGGATTGTGACAATGGGAATGAGTGAGGGGTTGTTTAGAGACATATGGTGGGAAAACCTCTGGTATTTGGAGATAGCAGAAGCGGAACATATAGGAGTGGATATAAAGATACAATGGAGATAGGAGAATTTAGGAAAAAGCAGTTTGAGAGAGAAAAAGGAAGATGACTTTGTTAATCAAGTTTATTTTTTATTTTGTTAAAATGTACGTAACATAAAATTTACCGGTTTTAAAGGTATAATTCATTGGCATTATGTACATTCATACTGTTGTACAACTATTACCACCATCCATCTCCAGAACATCTTTATCTTCTCACAGTGAAACTCTGAGCCCATTAAACAATAATTCCTTGCTCCTTAAGCAATAATTATTGCTCCCCAGCAACCACAATTCAACTTTCCATCTCCACAAGTTTGTCTATTCCAGGTAAATATTTGCCTGTAAATGGAGTCATACAGTATCTGTTCTTACGTCTTCTTACTTTACATATAATATCTTTAAGGTCCATCCATGTTGTAGCATGTGTCAGAATTTCATTCCTTTTTAAGGCTGAATATTCCATTGTATATGTGTCCTATATGTTGTTTGTCCATTCATCTGTTCATGAACATTAGGGTGTTTCTACATGTAGTGAATGATGCTACTATGAACATTGGTGTACAAACATCTGTTCTAATCTCTGCTTTCCTTTCTTTTGGTTATATCCTCAGGAGTGGCATTGCTGGAATGTTTTAGTATTTGGGGGGAACCACCGTACTGATTTGGGATTTAGACACACTGTGTTTGAGGTGGTGGAAAGTCTCACAGTTGGGACTAGAGCATGAGTAAAAGCAACTGTAGCAAGAGATTTCATCTCAAGGAACTCAACAGATGGGATGGCTGAAGAAGGGAGAGTGAATTAGCTTAAGAAAGCGAAAGGAAAGATTTTAGCCAAGGATTGCATTTCAGGAGGGAGGAGTAGCTATGGGAGCTCATCAATGAGACAGAAAAAGAGTAATTGGAGTTAAGAACAGAACCCAAGTGTTGATGCACATTTAGCTCAAACTCATCCATATGCATCGGGATCTCTTACAAGAACTTCCTTTCAGATGAAGAAACTTCTATTTAAGTATGACATTACTTTCCAGGGTTCGGGTGTTATAGATCACAGATTACTACTGAGTGTTGAATGTTTGAGACACAGATACTTTCCAAAAAGGTCCTAGAAGCACCTAAGAAGCAGAGGGTTTCTGTATGCTTTAGTTGGCTGTTCTTCACTTCCTGTTTTGCATTAGTAATTTCACACTTTTCTTTAACCTCTTATTGAAATATGATACACCTTAAGAAAAGTGAATAAGCCATATGTAGACAACTCAGTGAACTTCAGATGTTGCATAAACTTGGATATCCAACACCCAGAACAAAACAGTATCTCCCACACCCAGTGGGAGGTTCCCCTCATGCCCCTGCTCCGTCACCTACTCTCCCCATTATCTTGATTTCTAACACTGTATATTTATTTTATCTGCATTGAACTTTATGTAAGTGTAATCATGTAGTACGTACTCTTTGTGCCTGACTTCTTTCATTTAATACTGTGTTTGTGAAATTCCCCCATACGGTTGTAGTATATGTATTCCACTATTTATTACACTGTTTACACTATTCAGTCATTCTCATGTTGATTGGCATTTCTGTGGTTTCCAGATTGGGGCTATTATGAATAACACTACTATGGACATCAAGTTTCTTATTAAAATAGGAATTGTGCATGTTTTGTTCCCCTCTGTAAAGTTGTTTTTGCTTATTTCATTTAAGTACCTTTCCTCCCAAGTGCCTTCCCACCCTATCTGAAATATATTTAGGTATATTAATATATACCTATATATAGGTATTTATATATAAATATATAAGTATATTTAGGTATATATGTTAATGTTTGAACACTAGCTTTGAAATAATAAAGTGTTACAAGAAATTAGGTGTCTTAAAAATTGTATGTTCTTACATTAAAATTTTTCCTCTTAAAGCTTTTACTTTAATTTTTCTCAACTACACAGACTATGTATTTTAAATGCATTTTGAACCTGTCAAAATTTTTCTCTGCTAATGGGGTGAATTGTTCAACCTTGAGGCAAATATTTTAATTTTGACATCACGACGAATTGGAGAAAAAAGAATAGCTCCTGCATTATTAATGCAGATTTATTATCAAACTTAATTATAATTTACATAGCAATAAAAGGAATTGAGAATTAACAAAAAGTGCATTGTGATATTTTGTCATTTTTCTCTTCAGGTTACAGTCTGCTTTGGTATAAAAAATCAACATTACTAATTCAAAATTGCTAAAATATTATCAATCTGGCTATTCTAGAATTGAGCTGAAATTTCCTATATTTTAATAAAGATACATACATAATATAATCTGTAAATTTATACAGATACGTGTGTCCATATATATTTCTTTCTACCTACATGTTTGTCTATGCATTTGTCCGTCCATCCATCCATCCGTCCGTCTGTTGACATACTCACGGAAACATTCCTTACAGAAAGAACAATGGAAGACCATGAGCTGGTGACTGAAGTGCTGTCTAACTGGGGAATGGAAGAAGAGAATAAACTATACTTTAGAAAAAATTATGCCAAATATGAATTCTTTAAAAACCCAATGGTAAGTGAAATCCTTATTAATAGTTATGGGAAATAATGGATTGTTAAATGTTATTTTATTTTATGTGAAGAAAAGAGTCATCATAAATCAAATGCAATTCCCCGTTGGGTAAATTGCAAGTAAAAACTCTGTTCTGTGAACATCACAGTTACGTTTCTTTGTACTCTATCGATTAGTCAACATTATCACAGAAGTTCCGATGAACTGTTTTGGGAGCTATTTTTTCTTTTTCTTTCTAAGAAAACTATTACACATTTAATTTTGGGAATCAATAATTAGATATCCATAAGCAGCTCCAAAGTATTATAGCTGAACACTTTTCACAGAATTTTGGAAATTTAAGTAAGAAAATTTCTAACCTAAAAACAGATTGATGATTGTTGGGAATGCTATAGCTTAGCTAAAAATTTCAAATTGACATGCATCTTGCTGTTCCAAAATATTTTTTCAGTGCAGTAATGACTGAGCTAAATAGAAATGAGATAAAAGACCAGAGCATTATCTAATAAATACTACTTTTATAATAGTTCCCTTTAAATGAAAAAAAAAAAAAATGTGTGTCACATTCTAGTGAAGACTAGGGATCTGGAGAAGTCAGAATAGCCTCTGGGCTCATTATTTTAAATTGTTTTTGTCTCTGCAGTTGTAACATATTTTTACACGAAGTTTTGGATAATTGGATTGAAATGATCCTTTATGAAAAATATATGATACACACTATAATAGAATATTTTCAAATGCTGGAAGACCTCTTACGTTCCCTTTTATTTGAACTTATTAATAAAAACATAATGGGATGATCTTTGACAAAGAAAAGCATCCTAATAAAAATTAAATGGAATTAGAGTTTGAAGGGAAACTATTTTCTTTTTGTGAATCTTTATTAAATGCAAGAATTTAAAAATATAGTTAAAGGCATATGGTTATAGTGCTTGCTTTTGGTTATATTTTATTATTATTACTATTATTTGAACAAGGCTCTACACTCATTTTGTAGACCTAGAGCAGTAGTTATCAGCTGGGGGCGATTTGACAATGTCTGGAGGCATTTTTGCTTGTCATTTCAGGGGTGGAGGGATAGGGGGCTGCTAGTGGGTGGAAATCAGGAATGGTGTAACTAATACTGACCACAGAGTTAGGCCAGATGGTAATAGAACAGTTGTAAAACCCTGTCCTTGGAGGAAGTATAGTAGTCTATATTTTCAAAATGTGTCTGATCATAAAAATTACCCCGGGGGAGGATAGAGTACCCAGACCTACTGAATTAGACACTCCAGAAACAAGGCCTGGGAATTTCTATTTTAAACAACTGCCCTGGATGAATTTTATGATTGAACAAGGTTGGAAAGGACCTGACTTACAGCTCCCTGGCCCTCCGACAAGTCCTGGTTCTTCTAGCTCCCTGGCCCCAAGACAAGTCCTGTGACTGTGACCTTAAGCATACCCTTTAATTCTATGAGTCTTGACTTTGTGACATGGAATTGATGGTCCTTTAGTATCTGCTGGAATGGCCCCAGGACTCAGAGAAGAGATATGGGAGCAGAGACACTGTCATCCTGAAGGCATTGTTTTGAACTTGATGAATGTGGTTCTCTTTTTATCTGCATTATCTGAGGGTGCCTGCTAATCTTTGGGCTGTACTCCTACCTTTTCATTAAGATACCTGAATATAGAGTCATAATTGAATCTTTTCTAGCATGGCTTTTGAGGTAATGTAACCTATATCTTTTCGTCAGTATTTTTTTCCAGAGCATATGGTGTCCTTTGCAACTGAAACCAATGGTGAAATATCTCCCACACAGATTTTGCAGGTAAAACACATTTCCATTAAAGTATGTAAGTAACAGTGTAATAAAGGGAAACTTTAAGGTCCATATTTTTACATGCCCAGATTGAAATGTTCTACCTTGACAGATGAATTTTTGCTGGAGGTGAACCTGAAAAGAAAAGAAACAATAGGAAAGAAAAGAACAAAACCTGAACAAAGAAGTCCCTGAATCAGGAAAGGCTCCTAACACCATTATTCTTTCTAGTTTTGGCCAATTGTCAAAGGATTTTCAGTGTTTAAAAAAATGTGTTCAAAAAATGTGTATCATGAAAGGAAACTTGGCAGAATTTTGCTCTGTGATGTGTTTAAAGACTATGTTAGTCTTTAAATCAAAACCCCCAGTAAATTGTAGACATTTTGCTAACAGATATTTAGTATTAAATTTTATAGCAAATGCTCCCAATCCTATTTATCTTAAAATATTTAGCAACTACATGAAAGGAGAAAAAAAGATGTAAAAACATATATTTTGTATACCGACATGTCATAGCTATGTTGCATTCTTGAGCAGAGTTCTAAAATGTCTTAGCTGAATTAAGGATACTAGTTACTTAATTAAAAATCTCCTTAATTTTGCATCTTTGGGGCTCATTTCTTCCAAACTGGCTATGGCTTTATGTGATCATTTTTAAAAGGTATTTTCATTTCAATAAAACAATGATTTTCATTATTTTATTTTTCGTAGATCAGTAGATTTCACATCAGAAGCTCTGCAGTTGTTAACAGGTTAATGTTCAGTAATGTCTTTATAATGGTTACTGTTTGATCTAAACCCACGGGCATCGTCAACCCACTCAGTATTCTCTGATCTTTAAAGAAGACAGCTTTTTTTTTTTTTTTAAAGATTTTATTTATTTATTTGACAGAGATAGATCACAAGTAGGAAGAGAGGCAGGCAGAGAGAGAGAGAGGGAAGCAGGCTCCCTGCTGAGCAGAGAGCCCGATGCGGGACTCAATCCCAGGAATCCTGAGATCACGACCTGAGCCGAAGGCAGCGGCTTAACCCACTGAGCCACCCAGGCGCCCCAAGAAGACAGCTTTTAATATTTCCAATAGAGATAGTACTTGAAATATATTGGTAGTTAAGTATATCGGTAAATATATTGGGTGTTACAGATCTGTTTTCTATGGGCTTTTTAATAGTTTATATTTCATTTTTGCTCTTCATAATATTTTAGAAATATGATGAGTCTCAAGAGATTTTCCTAAAAGCTTCTTCTATGCGACCAGGTTTCACAGACACCCCATCAGAATACTAGGCTGAATGGCAGGGGCGTCGACAGCTGTGCCCGAGGGTGAGGGCCCAGCTCCCAGGCCCTCTCTGTGCTTCACCACTGGATTGTGACAGGGTGGTGCGTTGGAGCTTTTATTCCAACTCCTTTCCCCAATTCTCCTCTAATATAGTTATATGACTTTAATGTGAAATTACAAAAACAAGAAAAATCATAGCTTTGGAATCAGATAGTCCTGCATGTGCCTCTGACCTTTTCTCTCCACTGAGGCAATGTTTCCACTTTTTAAAACGTTTCTTCTCTTTCTAGTATGACCTCTCTGACCCCCTTTTTAAAATTTAATTGGTTTGGTTTAATAACTTGGAAAGCACTCAAACTAAAAAACCTACTCGCCTGTTTTGCATGTCAATTAATTAATAACTGTGGCTCATTAAATTAAAAAAAATTTTAATAATTTACTTAAAAACATACATATCTGTTCTCAGCATTTCCCTGAGTAGCCTTTTAAAATATGTCACATCGTTTTAGAGAGTAATTTCTCTTACTTTACATTTTTCCATTTTGCATTTGTTTATTCATAGGGATTTCTGTTTTCTTCTTTTAATGAGATGCTAATGCATTTCCATCGTCTTATTAAGGATGCTGAGTACAACCACTCACACAGAGCTATTCGTTTTCATTCTCATTTCCCTGACCAGCACACGCCTACTGTCTCAGTTTATTATTACTTTGTAACAAACTATTCCAAACCCTAATGGCTTAAGTACCCACTCACATTTTGCCAACAATTTTGTGGGTCAGGAATTCGGAGAGGGTTTAGCTGGGCAAGGGTCATCTTTGAGGCACGTTGACTCCCTGGGGGTTGAGGTTCCCCTTCTTAAGATGGCTTTTCATGATGTGTCCCCTCTACCCGCTCCCCCCACCCCCGGCCTCTCTTCTCTCCACATGGGGTCTCCATCCTTACAGGCTTTACTAGCACATAGGGCTTCTCACAGCAGAGCTGTCTTACCGTAGTCATATTTCTTATGTGACCGCTAGCTTCCAGGAGTTAACTAGTGGAGGCCATCGGGCCAGCTAAGGTCTAGAACTAGAGCTAGCTGACTGTCACTTCTGCTGTATTCCATTGGTCAAAGCAGTCATAAAGCCTTGCCCAGATTCAAAGGAGGTAGAGACACAGACTCCAGCCCTGCACGTTTAGGTGGCAAGATCCCTTTGTAGAAGAGCATGTGGGATGGGAGATAGTGTTGCAGTTCTCTTTGGAAAACACAATGTACTCTAGCCACCCACCACTGAACCCCATAGAGGACAGAGAAAAGATTGTTTGCTTTACTTCAGCAGGGAGGAGAACACGGCTCAACTTTCTTTCTTTTTTTTTTTTTTTTTAAAGATTTTATTTATTTATTTGACAGACAGAGATTACAAGTAGGCAGAGAGGCAGTCAGAGAGAGGAGGAAGCAGGTTCCCTGCTGAGCAGAGAGCCCGATGCTGGGCTCGATCCCAGGACCCTGGGATCATGACCTGAGCTAAAGGCAGAGGCTTTAACCCACTGAGCCACCCAGGCGCCCCTTAACTTTCTAAACAATTCAATAATTGAAGTCAAGATTGTGGTCTTTTACTTGCAATGTAATGAAGCTGATAGGTTCTCAGGGAAAATCATAGAAAAGGATGAGAAGTATCAGGACTTAACTCTTAGATGAAATCTAGCTTTTCAAATAGACATTCAGAAAACTTACGATTCTAGTGTTTGGCTAAGTCCTGACCACTTAAAATGTATATTTTGTGAACAGATTTTCATTTGGAATTTGCCTCAGGTTATCAAAAGACTGATTTATTTTCTGTTGTATTTATATTGCCATGCCTGTAATGATACCTTTAAGTGATATTGACACTGTTAGAGTTTGCATGTTTATATTTGAAATCTTGGGTTACTAGATGGCTACAGTAACTGATTCAGAAACAGCATGAGGATGTCTAACTTTTCTTGCAGATGTTTCTGAGTTCAAGCACATACCCTGAAATCCATGGCTTCTTACATGCAAAAGAGCAGGGAAAGAAGTCCTGGAAAAAGATTTACTTCCTTCTAAGAAGATCTGGTTTATATTTTTCTACTAAAGGGACATCAAAGGTAATTGAAATGTCCATGTTGTGTTATGAACTATAAGTGAAAGTGGGTTTTCCTTTGTTTTTATTAGTTTATTACTGGATATCAAGAGTTGGTACATTGATTTTAGATACCAAACATTTGCCATAATCAGTTTAAAAACTGACTATTCAGCTTCCCACTAATTTCAACATATATCCTGTGATGGAATCTAGATGCTTTTATTTTGCGACCACATACTGTGCTCATTTCTCTCTCCTAATTCACCCCCTTCCTCTTTACCCTTGGCTACAGACTATGAGGTCCAGCACAGTCCACGTCACCTCTTTTCACCCAGGTTGTCCTCCTGATCTTGCCCCCTCTTGAACTTCTGTTTTTGTTGATGCAGTTAGTAACACTCCACTGAATTGTCATTGTTTTTATTTCCTTTGTGCGTGTGATAGTTTTGTCTCCTTAGCCACATTATAGATTCCTAAAGGGAGTTGTATGATGACCGGGGGTGGAGGCACGTGTTCGTGTGTGTGCTGGAGTGCGTACAGCTGTGCATGCGGTCGCACAAGCACACTTGTGCAGATGCTCCCACACCACCACTAGCCCATGTCAGTCCCACCATGCTCGGCACCACGTTGTCTCTATGTCTGTGTGGTCTAGTCACTGGCAACTACGCCGTGTTTTATAAGTGCTGACATTTTATGCAATGCATTGATCCTTTTCAAATAAAACTTTAAAAAAAATTTATTTATTTATTTGTGAGAGAGTGAGCGATGCACAAGCAGGGGGAGCAGCAGGCAGAGGGAGAAGCAGGCTCCCCGCTGAGCAGGGAGCCCAATGTAGGACTTGATCCCAGGACCCTGGGATCGTGATCTGAGCTGAAGGCAGATGCTTAACAGACTGAGCCACCCAGGCACCCCAAGTAAAACTGATTTTGAGAGTTTTCATGGGTGGCTATTTTAATTCTGTTTTCATGCATCTATTGTTGTCAAACAACATTGTTAATTCTTTGTGGGTAATCTGTCATTTTTCTCTGGCTGTTTTTCAAATATCATGATAATCATTGGTATTCAGTAATTTCCCTGACTGTATTTCTAGGTGCACTCAAATGTATTCTGATAAATCTTACTCGATTCTCAACATATGCATTCCATCTGCAAATTTCTGTTTATATTTATGCTGGAAATGTTCATCCATATATATATTGCTCACTATCATTATGTGATCCTTTAAATTTCTGTAGGCTTTTCTGTCTTGGGCAGTTATGGCTCCAGACACCCATTTGCTTGTGGCAGCCTTCCTCCAGCCTCCCTGTCTTTTTGTGGCCTTTTTCTGTCTCTTATAAGGACATTTGTCATTGGGTGTAGGACCCACATAGATTATCTGAGATGGTCTCATCTTGAGATCCTTCGCTTCATTACTTCTGCAAAGAGCCTTTTTCCAAATGAGGTGGTATTCACAGTTTCTTGGGATGGGGCATGGATGTGTCTTTTGGGAGCAGGGATAATCACTCAACTCACTATAGAAAGCCAGTGAAAAATTTTGAGCAAGAGAGTGAGATGATCAAGTTGTAGGATTACTATGGCCATAAGGAGCTTAAAAAATCGGTAGATAGAGTGAGAGAGAAAAAAAAAAAAAGAACGAGGGGGAGGGATCAAAGGTTGCAGGGAGCTGGGGGACAGAGAGAGAGAGAGATACTAGCGGCAATACTATGCTAAATAGATGGTCATTCAGTAATCCAGAGTAAAGGTGACAGGATCTAACCTACAATGAGCAGTGGAAGGGGAAGAATGGGATGGATACAAGATTAAGAAGTAGCTGGCCAGGTTTTGTTGACTGATTGATACGAAAGGAGAGGAAGCATTTTAGATGTTCTTAGAGAAAGAAATAAAGAAATAGGCGGTGATTTAATAGCATAAACAGGAAAAGGATGTTTGCTATCACATTATCTTGGAAGTAGGATAATGATCTTAGTTCTAGATATATTGTGTTAAGGGTGAAGCATCTGAGTGGAAATGCCCAGAAAACAATTAATGACAGTGACCAGATTTTCGGGTGATAGGGAGGCACAAGGAGTGATAGTTGACTCCTCCAGACTTTCCTCAGCTTTCCCTCATACACAGTTTTCCTTCTTTGCTGTTCACATGTGTGCACGTCACGTGTGTGTCTCCTTGAAGTGTAAGTGCTGGCACAGGGCTCTACTAATTTAGTATCACATTTCCTTACAGAAATGTTTTGTTTTTAAGTATACATCATTGGACTACTTGTATTCAACCAGTTTTTCTTGAACATTTAAACTAGTTTTCAAATTTTTCTATCAGGAATAATGTTAGGATAAATAATTACCTATTTCTGTAATTAAGGTTCTAGAGTTTCCCTAGTCTAAATTTTAATGAGGTTGTTCGTTTCCCTGTTTCCTAAGTATGAAATTACATATGAAGGTGTTTTTTAAACAAATACATGCGTATCTTTATACTTTTAACATCAGAGAAATCTGATTCTAAATCAGTAATCATGTTGATTGCACTCTTTCCAGTAAAACTTCACTGGAAGATATGATAATGTTTCTTTAATTCTTAATTCTTATATCTTCAACTGGTTTCTCATTAAAATCAACTGCCCATTATATTTTTACTTTAGCCTTCACCTCCTTTCCCTGCCCACCCATTATACAAAAACAGCTCCTTATTCCATCTACTGGATCCATGCTTTTATCCTTGCATTGGTCTTCTCCCTGGCCAGGCAGAATTATAGGCATCAAACCTCTATTCTCAGTCCATATCTTAGCTCTTTTCAACTTGGTGTCTGACTTTGCTGTACTTTCAGTACATAATATTCTTCTCTCTAGCCTATGTCTAATGAGGTCATGTTCCACAATCTATACATAAAAATGATTTTAAGTTTCCCCTCAAAAAAAAAAAAAAGAAGAAGAAGAAATACAAGGTATTAGGTAACCTCAAGGATTATGACCTTGACATAAATTATGCATGTTATCTAATGTTTAATATGACATTTCTGCCTGGGAAAGAGACGATTTCCTGTCCTTTTTCTGTGAGAATGTCGATTTATTATACTTTCTGAAGATGTGGGCTGCATGGGAGTTAGTTAGCCACTGCTACAAGCCTTGGAGATGTGGCTGTGACTTTTATTTACAGAGAAACGTCTAAGTACCACACCTCTCTCCCAATTCTCGCCATATATACACATGTGCGTGCGTGGACTTTGCTCACCATGCCAGCTCAGGCTTCTGATCGTACAGTATCTTAAGCCTTGATATATCTGCACTAATGGAGCAAAAATCAGTCAAAACATGAACCTCATTCTGCCTCTGTAGCCTTCTAGATTTTCTCAAGCTGCCTTTCTCTTACATCCAGAAGACTCAGTTTCACAGACTTCTACAGTATCAGTGGACAGGGCTGGTTTTATCTTTTCTTCATAGGAATCAGACATTTTTACTAGCAAATCAGTTTCTATCAAAAAATAGTTTTAAAGGCCATGACAGTCAGAGTACCTTTCTCCTTCCTCTTCCCTTGTTCCAAGGGCCCTAGGCTGGATCTCTTTTAACAGTTTTCTTTTCTGCCTTATTCTCCTATGGAGATGGGAACTATAGCCATTCATTAGATCAAAATGCCTAAGAACAGTGACACACAGAGGACAGTGACATACACAGAAACTGTCGCTCTGCTAGTCATCTGGGATGGAATAGCCTGCTGGTAAATGACTGAAATTTTTTTGGATATGGATTTGAATGGGTTGCTCCAATTGCTAAATGTTCTGGGTTTTCTGTCTTTTCAGTTTTGTTTTTTTTTTAGAGCACTACTTCTTAGTTTTCAGTGCCTATGAATCACCCAGGATCTTGTTAAAATGCAGATTTTGATTCGGTAGGTCTATGGTGGGGCCACAGAGTTTTGCATTTCTAATAAGCTCCCAGGTGATGCCTATGGTCCTGGTCTGGGACCACACTACTAGTAGCAAGGTTTTAAAGAACAAATGCATTTTTGGTCAGTTTTGATCATACATCCAACCCCAGAATTAAGCACTTCTCCAAGTTATTAACCTGTCACAGCATAATATGACCCAGTGATTTCCCTTGACCAGCTTTAAATCTCATGGATTTCCCAGAGAAGAAATAGCTGTACATGATTCCACTTTACCTTGAAAATCAGAAACATTCAACTGCCAGGTAATTTCCCAGAACTCATCTGTACCAGCCACCTTCTTTCGTACAGAAGGTAGTTTATGCCCCCTGCCTCATTGCTTGCCATGGGGTGCTAGGTAGTACCCAGATGGGAGGGGGATCTTTTCTAAATGAAGCAGGAATCTTTGTCTCTTTTTCCTTTTTATTCTCTAACTGCTGTGGAGGCTCAAACCACCCTTCTTGCCTTTGTCGAACTACCACCTGGACAAGGAAAACATTTTTAAAAGCCATTCTTTGCTGCTTTCTCTCCCTGAGATTCCTGAAATGGTGGTTAAAGAGAACAATTTTAGATGAAGATTTTTGCATATATTGGCCGTTAAATGATAAATCACCACTTCTCAAATAATATTGTATCAAGTTCCTAGTTCTTGAAGGATACAGTAACTTCATTTTTCTTCCCCTTTGTATTTCTGTGCCATTATTTAGAATAATTGTTTTGCCAAGGTATAAATTATGTAATATAGAAATGCAAAAGAGAGCGTGCAAAAGTATGGATTCATTTCAACTCTCACATTTGTATCTTTTTAAAGGAACCACGGCATTTGCAGTTTTTCAGCGAATTTGGCAATAGTGATATTTATGTGTCCCTGGCAGGCAAAAAAAAACACGGAGCACCGACTAACTATGGATTCTGCTTTAAGGTACAGGCTTAATATTTTGATAGATGAATAAAGCAAGCCTCAGCCTTTTAGGTAAGCTTGGGTTTCTTTTAATTTCTTTTGAAAAAGAGACAGCTTTCTCTTATATATAGGAGAATTTTAGTGGCTTTTATTTCAACAGGTGTTACCTTCAAGATATGCATTAACGATAAACAATGTGCTGTGGCCTTCTAGCCTAACAAAGCGGGAGGGCCCCGAGACCTGAAAATGCTCTGTGCAGAAGAAGAGCAGAGTAGGACGTGCTGGGTGACTGCGATTAGATTGCTTAAGGTAATCTCACTGCAGGCGTGAATTTCTGTTAATGCTGTGAGTGCCATCAAAGTTTGAAAATATCTGTATTTCAAAATGTGAAGACTCACTTTAAGTCTGTGTACCCAAATGTTTGTATTTTTTTTTTAATCTAAAAGATAAACATTAGTAGAGTGGAATAGCCTAATGCATTTATCTTGTGCGTGTGGAGTAAGTATTCCATTTTTAGAAATGCTCTGAATTTTATTTTTTTCGAGGGTATTACATGTACAGCTAGTATAACTGATGGGAGAGGAGAAGTGAGTTGGGGGAAATCGGAGGGGGAGACAAACCATGAGAGACTGTGGACTCTGAGAAACAAACTGAGGGTTTTGGAGGGGAGGAGGTGGGAGGTTGGGTGAGCCTGGTGGTGGGTATTAAGGAGGGCACGTATTGCATGGAGCACTGGGTGTGCTGCATAAACAATGAATTTTGGAACACTGAAAAAAAATTAAATTAAATCTTAGAAAAACCTTCTATAAATGACTCAGTCTGTATTTTTAAAATATTGTTATCAATCCACCATGATGTGTATTTTAAAACATGCCCACCTAGGTATGTCTAGTGCAATTGTTTTACACTTCATTTAAGTGTTGTATAAGTTGCTTTCCAGTTTACTTCAAATTATAATGTAAATTTTAGTATAATATACTATTAAAATATCAACCTTTGTGTTAAGTAGAAGTTACAACTTAAATAAGCATAGTTTACTGGGAAGCATTTTGAGAGGAATAAGAGTTCTAAAAGTTATGTGGGGAAGAAAGACATAGAATGATTTCTTCCAGAATGTACAGAAAACACATATTTAATTTCAAAGCTTCTATGCTAATAAATTTAACACAACTTCATAATTTTAAAAATTAATCAACCATTTCCTTTTGAAGAAGGGCAGAATAATCAGAATTATTAGTCCTCATACCAGGTTGGGAAGATAGTTTTATTTATTTTTCTTTTAATTTATTTAATTAAGGTGAAATTCACATATCATAAAATTAACTGAATTAACTATTTTAATCAACTGGGCTAATACGATGAACATATTAAACTGTGTTCGTTTTAACTATTTGGACAATACAGTGCCATTTAGTTCATTCAGAATGTTGTGCACCGCCCCCATCTCTCTAGCTTTTAGCTTCAAAACATTTTTATCACCTCAAATGGAAACTCCCAGCTCCTGGCAGTCAACCATATCTGTGTCTGTCTCTATAGGATTTCCCTATTTTGACATTTCATAGAAATGGAATCATACAATATCTGACCTTCTGTGTCTTCTTTTATTTAGCATATTGTTTTGTGGTTCATCTACCTTATAGTGTATATTAGTACTTGGTTCCTTTTTTATGGCTGAATAATATTTGTGTGTGTGTGTGTGTGTGTTAGATAGACAATTTGTTTATTCATTTATCCATTAATGGACATTTGGGTTGTTGACATCTTTTGACTATTTTGAGTAGTACTTCTATGAACATATGTGTTCATGTATTTATTTGGATACCTTTTTTTCAATTTGGGGGGTATATACCTAGGAGTAGAATTCCTGGTCATATGTAAATTGTGTTTAACCTTTTAAAGAATTGCCAAAAATTTTCCATATAACTAAACTGTTTAATGTTCCCACCTGCAATGTGTGAGAATTCCAATTTCTCCATATCCTCACTAATGCTTGTTATTTTCCTTTTTTAAAAAATAATTTCCTAGTGCATGTGAAGTGGTATTGGCAGAAAATTTTTTAAATGGCTTAAAGGAAGCTTTTGGATTAACTCTGAAATTTGCTTCCTTTTGCTGTTATGGCAGATAGTTTCTATAGTTACCTTTTTACAAGAGGTTTGTTTTTCAAATAGTCTACTGTTAAATGACTGTCATGATTTTGGTTTCAACAAAGCTTAGAAGTCTTGATTCTTTGAAACCCTCATGGTAAGTAATTGCTTCTATGTTGCCCTCATTGTCATAAAATGTAAAAAAATAAAAGAAAAAATGAAAAGAACTTTAGAGAGTGTTGGGAACCAACCGGTCAAGGAAGTAATAGCTAGTTAACTCGGGATGAGCACTGGACTCACTTGAGGCATGTTCTAAAGTTCTTTGTGTCCGGCCCCATTGTTGGGGATCCTGATTTAGTGAGTGAACTCCAGATTAAGAACCAGTGACCTCATCCAGTCCTCTCTTTTTACAGATGAAGAGGCTGTCACTCCTTGGAATACTTTAACCTATCACAGTTATAGTAGAGACAATACCTTGAGGTCTCTGGTTCTCTCTTTCCTTCCATCAAAACTCTGGAAATCAGGCAAGGCTGGTAAAGGAGATGCTTTCCAACCTGGTTAGTCAAGGCTTCCTCCCTTCTAGTTTGATCTCAAGTTCAGACACCCAACTCTGAAATAGGTGGTGAGCACGCTTCCTTTAGTGCTACTGATTTTACGAGGATACACCATTACTTTTTGTATAAGTAGAAAGAAAAGAATTATGTCAATAAAATTATGATATGATGCTTTTGTATCCCCTATGGTTTTTATTTTTATCTAGTTATTTTAGATTTATTTAAGCCTGTAGATGTAGATTTTCATCATTATCAGTTTTGTGTATACACACACACACACACACACACACACACGAAATAAATTATGTGAGGCATCTCTAAAACTTCATATTCTAAGACTGGCTTTCCGAAATCATTTTTATCTCAGAGCCATGGATACCCATATTTCATACAGACTATCTTACTGTATGCTGTCAAGAGCTTCAAGGAGGCAGAACTTCTCAGACAGGTGCTCTGCCATGGTCTCTGGAGTTGTCTTTCTAGCCAGTGGCCTCCCTTCTGCAAAGTTTGATGGGAATGATTTTTTGATCTCACTAAACATTTCAGCAGTGACAAGTCACTTGGTCAACAGTGAATATAAGATGCTCTAATTAAGGCAAATTTATGAATGTTAAAATTTGAAAAGAAGCACGTGTCCAAGAATTGATGAAATATACTAAAAGCTTCCTTTTTTTTTTTCTTTTTCTTTTGATCCTTCCATATCCAGAATGTTTCCTGGAAGATTGCCCCCTTCTCACTTTTTTTTTTTTTCCATTTGATCTTTTTGAAGCCTCTTCCAAGGCACAAATGTCCACTTCAAAGATGCTCTGTTTTATTTCTATGGCTTCTGCAACAAATTATACCACTTTAGTGACCTAAGACAATGCAAATTTATTATCCTACACTGTTGTCTTTCAGGAAGTCTGAAATGGTCTTATTGCCGTAAATGCAAGGTGTCCAAGGACCCAGTTCTCTTCTAGAGACTGTGGGGAAAGAATCCATTTTCTCATTCCCTTTCCAGACTTTAGAGGCTGCCCAGATTCCTTGGCTCATGGTCTCTTTCTCTACCCTTGAAACCAGCACTGAGGAGCTGAGACCTTTTCATGCTGTGACTTGGTTCTCTTCTCTGCCTCCCCCTTCCACTTATTAAGGGCCCTTGTGATTATATTGGATCTATACATAGTCACAGGCTTCAGGAATTAGGATGTGGACATCTCTGGGGTCCATTATTCTGCCTACCCTGTCCATATTCCCTGTGTTGTTTTTTTCCCCCTTTTTTAGTTGTGGTAAAGCTTTTCCAGATGAGGCATAGAGGGAGAACATTTACCCTGAAGGCAATGATAAACCACCGAACAGTTTCAAATGGGAAAGTGATATGACCTGCTTTACCCTTTAAAATACCTAGATACGGGAAGCCAGGGCTTGCCAGCATAATGTATTTGAAGGACTCTAATAGGGGAGGCAGGTGGTTCCCCTGCAGCTTGTCATCAGCCGGGCACTGGCTTCATCCCCCTGGCTAGTGCACCTGGACTCTGGTGGTGTTAGACGCATCTTTTGATTTTCGACTCTGGATGTCTGTTGTATTTCCAGCTTATCACTGAGCTTAGTGGGAGGTGCAGGGACAGAGGAGGCTGTTATGTTGATTAGACTGAAAGGGCATCGGATTTTCTTCACACGTTTCTTACTAGATCCTGCCTCCTCAAGAATTTGGCGTCTTGTTTAATTTTTATTTCCTTTTTTTTTTCCATACACATGTGTGAACTGTTCATATAGTAGCAGAGGAAGAGTCTCCGGTTCTCTTTGGAGGCATTCCAGTTATATAGAGATACATAGAAAATCTGAGAATTGTTTATGTACAGTGCCCTGGTTCCCTGTTGTCTTCTCCCCATCCCTTCAACTAGAACTCTGCTAGCTTCTTATATAGTTTGGTCCCTTACCTGCCCCTCTGTAGGACGGGGACATGTTAAGGTGACTCATGTCCTACCCGTCCGCCAGAGTTAAGTACTTACTAACAACCATCAACAGCACAGAAGCAGCTACCCAACACTGCAGGTACCAGGCACAATAGACCTTTGAAGGAAACAGTCTTGATAGCAGGTAGCTGGCTTTCCACTGCAGATAAATAAAAGGCGACCAAACGGCATGCGTGCACCTTGTGAAAGTATTGGTTAGAGGTTAGTGTGTATTCTCCAAAATGAATTCGACTGGGAATTAAACTCCTCTGTCTTCTTTTTATAGTTGTGGTAGGTTTAGAGTTGTTTTAAAGTAAATTTCATTAGGTCCCCATTAATGTCAATCAAACTGTAAATTAAAAAAATAATTTTCATAACTTGGGAAATAATTGGATAAAGAAGTCAACATAAAGAATTTTAAATGAATGTGGGTTTGTATTCGTGTTAAAAGCCAAATCTTGGAAAAAGAGACCCTCCATGCCGCCCTCTGATTTTTCTACCTAATTACCAGATAGGTCCAGTTTGCTGGAATTGCTTTTAGGGAAATAGTCTTCAGTAAAGAAACAGCTCTGCTGGAATGTTTAAATGGAATTCATCCTATGGGTGAGATTGGATTCCATGGTGTCTCCCCAGTCTCTTTTATGTAGGACCTACTTGTAAGTTCATTGTGGCTCTGTGAAATAGAATTGTTGAGGATAGGGGCGCCTGGGTAGCTCAGTGGGTTAAGCCTCTACCTTCAGCTCAGGTCATGATCTCAGGGTCCTGGGATCGAGCCCCACATCAGGCTCTCTGAACAGCAGGGAGCCTGCTTCCCCCTCTCTCTCTGCCTGCTTCTCTGCCTACTTGTGATCTCTCTCTCTCTCTGTTGAATAAATCAATAAAATCTTAGATTTGTTGAGGATAGCCAGAAAAAAGAAAAGAAAAGAAATGAAAGGCCTCTCTGTCCCATTGTGGTTTTGCTTTGTTCTTTCTTTCTTTCTTTCTTTCTTTCTTTCTTTCTTTCAATAAAGTGGATCAAATCTAAGGGGAGTACCTTATAGCTTCAGATGGTGAGCCCTCCAAAATAAGTTCGGACATGGCAGTTAGCATTCTTAGTTTTCTCAAACCCAATAACCCACTCACAGTCCAGACCGACTTTCCAATCATAGCCTGGCAGCTGAGTCTTGCGATGCTACTTCCTGAAAATAAAGATGCTGCATTTTTTTCCCTACTGCAGTTTACATTGTATTTTGTGACCCTTTGTGTGAGGTCCCTACCATTTTGGTTCCCTGAATTTAAAGCTAAAAATTAAACAATGCAGTAAGAGTATTGTTCATAGAGTATGCTGCAGTGTCAAGAATCTTTACCATAGGGCCAAGTTGATGGATTTGCTGAAGAGACACTATAATTCGTCAATCAGTCATTGAAGAGTTACAGTGAGTTTTACCCTGTTTTGCTTAAGATGCCTGTAAGGTTTTCAGAGTCTTTGTTCCATAAAGTCTGACATCCTTCCCAAGTAAGCTCTCTTTTTATTAGGTGATATACCATTCCAAGTGGTTTTGGTGCTAAGAATAATGAGTAGGAATGTCAGTTACAGATCTTCATACTGGTGAGCTAGACCTTAAGTGTGGGTTCAAGTAAAAAACACTTTCTTTCTTTCTTTCTTTCTTTCTTTCTTTCTTTCTTTCTTTCTTTCTTTCTTTCTCTTTCTTTCTTTCTTTCTTTCTTTCTTTCTTTCTTTCTTCTTTCTTTATTTCTCCCTCCCTCCTTCCTTTCCTTTGATTATTCATTTATTTAAGATATTTATTTATTTATTTACCAGAGAGAGAGAGAGAGAGAGAGAGAGAGAAAGAACACAGGCAGGGAGAGTGGCAGCCAGAGGGAGAAGCAGATTCTCCTCTGAGCAGGGAGCCCAACACGGGGTTCATTTCCAGGACCCTGGAATCATGACCTGAGCCATAGGCAGCCTCTTAATTGACTGAGCCACCCAGGCGTCCAAAAAAAACACTGTCTTTTTAAATGTATCGTTGTAGGGCAGTAAAAGCTTACCTTTCAAAATTATGATTGCCTTACTAATTTGATTTAAGAAAAGCTTATAATTTTTATTTTTTATGTTATGATATATAACTAATTAAAGTATTGATTTTTCCCCCAAATTACCTGTGTAGTAAAAGTGGTGGGAATGTGTTTTTATTTATTTGTTCTGCAGTATGGCATGCAGCTGTACCAGAATTACATGCATCCATATCAAGGTAGAAGTGGCTGCAGTTCTCAGAGTATATCACCCATGGTAAGGACCATATTTATTAACCTATGTATTTTATATTTACATTATATCAATTTGCAATAATATTGCATTATAAACATACAGTACGGTACATCTATGTTCTTTCCTTCAAAGTAACTCTTGGACACCATCCTAACATAACGTTACTGAATTATTTATTCTTGGATTTCACATGATTGCAGCCTGTGTGATATTACATTAGAATAGATAATGTTATATGTAAAAGAAAATTTGTAAATATTTGAAAAAGTTATGTGAGTCATTCTGTTTCATTACAACATTTGAGGATTTCATTTTAATACAATTTCTAGAATATTTTCCTTGGGGATTGTGGATGTTTCCTTAACCACTGATTTTTGTTGTGGGTTTATTTGTTTAATATTGATTTTGGAATTGTAATAGCCTAATATAAAGATGCCAGTGGCTTGGAATTTTAAGAGCTGCACTAAACACAGGTAAGCTCTTGCATTTTGGGCTTCTAACAATAAAATTTTTTAAGGTCTAAGTCCTTGAAAAGCAAACTGCTCTTCAGGAAACCCAAAAACTGCAAGCCATAATAGAGCTTGTGCATTACATTAAGTCTAACACCACTTCTCAGATTTATACTACCTGCAACTTGAATATTTATTTGCAGACACACACAGAATATCTTTTCCCTTCTTTAGAATCTAATTTTAATTTATTGTGCATTAACACAAGAGATTTGTTTCTGAACTTTAAAGCTTATTTTTGGCCATTTTTGTACTTGCTTTTAATATTGAGTATATTAGGAATGTGGGTATATGCGCCTGTGTTAGAAATCAGCTAACACGCTGCATTTCCACTTAGGTTAAAAATATGCCCCTCATGGCTGTGACCAAGGAAGGCGCATTTCCCCACACGTAATGTGGCAGATGAAATGCTCAGTTCTAGGAATGCGGCATGAAATAATGTTGATTACAAAGTCTGATAGACTAATAGGGGGAAAAAGAACTCCAGTTCTGTAGTTACGTTGCTTTATGTTATGGAAGAGTAACTTCTCATCTTTGTATCATATTACTTTTAAGCCCTAAAATAAGAAACTAAAGACTGGAATGAATTTTTATAAAAGCAGTGGCCTTAGGTGAGTATTGGTATAATTTGTCAGCTACCTTTATCTTTCAATCCACATGTATATAAAGAGTAATGGATTTTATCTTAATCCTTTTCTAAATCCTTCTAAATTTCTTTTAGAGTCTAAAGGTATTAGGATGAACATGTTAATAACAGCTGTACATTTGGAGGCTGTTGCCTAGTGTCCTCTTAATCAAAGGAGAAAATTGTCATCAACAAAGTACTGTCTAGTCTCATCACTGTTATGAGCACGTAAGCATGGTATTATTCTTGCCACTTTCCCCAGAAAGTGGTCCTACTGTTGATCACTGTATACATGGCAGTTTGGTTAGTGTGACTTTGCCTGTTCAACACCAGATATAGAGAAAGACACATCTTGAGTGAATCTAGTTGGCAATAGGGATTCTGTAGGGGCCTGTGGAGGAGGACCTGGCTATCCTGTATGGCAGTTGTCAAGGTCAAACAGAATAGCACTTGAGAATTATATCTCCACTCTTCTTAAGTTACGTGAAGGAAACTGAGATGTTTTGGGAGGTATTTATGTGTACTTTGATGTCTATACAGAATCCCACCTTTCTAGCTTATCACAGAAGAATCAGTGACCTGTATAATGGGTGCCAGTGCTCCTAACCTGCGACTGCTGGTTTTCTTCCAGGCACTGTGTTCAGTGAGAATCATAGAAAACTGAGGATACTTCAGTTATATATTTTTAAAGGAACAATATTCTTAACTTCTCCAGGGATACATTTTGAGAAGGGAAATAAGAAAAGAAAAAAAAAAAAAAGTCTTATACTATAATGCAACATCCTAGCTATGTACAGCACATCATGGCCACCCCATCTGCTTTTGAAATGAAAATCATCAGCAGATATTTCAGGAAACCAAATATTTGGTCCTTTTCAGCACAAAGGAGCATCTGTTAGTATCCCGACTGGACAGCCGGGATGGGAAAAACTGGTCTACTCTAGGCCTTATATTCCTCATTCTTGACCCTGAGCTAGATGTTGAAAACTGCATTCCCTGTACCTCCCCCTATGTGGTCCATAAAAGACACTGGAAAGAGTCTATATCTGTCACTGCGTTTACCATAAGCTGCCTGTGCGACCCTGGTTTAGTCACTGGTAGCCTGCAGTGTAAAATAAGGGGGACAGGTGCTTAAGTTTGGGAATTGATTATATCTCTGATGTCCTCTGGCTGTGTCTGAAACAGAGAGAATGGTGTCAGGAACTTCTGTGCCCTCTTGCTGAGGACTATGCTGAAGGTTTATCTCTATCTTTCAAACGAGGTGACAGAGTGTATGACTACTAGTTGCCACCTACCTAGACTGCCTGAAAAACATTTCATGTCCAAAGCACACTAGGAGTGACTGGATCTGATCTCAGAGTGTGGCTTGGATAATCCAGGGTTTACCCAGGTCTTTTCTTTCTTGAAAAAAGAGGGATGTCTTTAAAATCATGGACCCTTTTCCATGGCTTGCCCTGTTTATTCCACCAGAAGAAAGAGCTAGAAAAAGGGACCGATATTTGAGAAATACACTGATTCTGAATGTTATCAACATTGCTTTCTTATGTGAAAGAAATTGAGCTGAAAATGACCTTTTGAGTTCAAGTCAGATTCTGCTTCACTTCTATTTCTTTGTCCACCAAAGGTAAACTATTAATTTTTCATCCACCACCTGCTATTCAGTAGGAAACATTTGCTATATTTCTGTGTGTTCCCTAGTGTAGTTAATGTAGCAAATGAAAATATTTATTTGTGTTGTAGACTCCCTCTAATGTCAAGTAATTATGGAACATGGGACCTTGTTTTATATTCTATCCTGTTGTATTGTAGGCAAACAAAAGCAAAAACAACTGGTTATGTTTATTTTTCTTTCCTAACAGTGTTTGTATGTTATCAGGACCTTGTGATTATGGCTCCCATCTTGGCATGTGAAATAGAGATATTCTAAGGATAAAGCTATCATTATGATTGAAATTAGTTACTCTGTGGTTTGGGCAGGTGAAGGCTTTTCATTAATGTTGGCAAAACAGAAGGGTATCCTACTGGTCTACAGCCCCACACAGAAGATCACGGGTGGGGTGTGGGAAAGAAGAGCGAGCTAAGGTGTGACAGCAGACAGAGACTGCAGAGACAGCATCTGTCTGCAAAGAGCAGCTGTTGGTTACAAAGGCTCCTGTAACAAATGAAAGATTGCATGCCAGATCTCTAGAAATACAGATGAACTGTAATGAGATTGTGGGCCACTACAGCAGGGTTTAGAGAGGAGCTAGCAAATGCTAACGATGTAGGATGTTTGATGCAGTGATAAGTGAGCCCCTCTTTTTTTTTTTTTTTTTTTTTCGCATGGACAGGGTGTTCTTTCAAGCATACATTTAACTACAGTCTCTTAGACCAAGCTAGGAAGGGCTGAATCCATGTAGAGAGATATAAAATGGTCTTGAGCAGTGAATCTCCATAGGCACACTGCTCTCCCTTTACCAACAGAACTCCCATTCTTTGTTTCACTCCTCTAGTCACGAGTGGGGAGTAAGTGGTAAACATTGTCCATGCTGTTTTTGAATATTTTTTTCCCCCTTTGGGAGAATGTTTCTTCTTACAAACTGAGGCTCTTGACTGGAGATGTGATAACTGTCTTTTTTTTTTTTTAGGATGCATGACTGGGAGTGGCACTCTTTTAAAAAGATGGTTGCAAAGTAGAGCCCTAAACAAAAAGTAAAAATGAAGTCCAGGTTTGGATATATTCACCTTCAGAGAAAACAAAAAGTAATGCCAAAGGAAGACTATTATTTGTTTAAATTATGTTTGTTTGGAGATGTCTTCCTTCTATATCAGTTCTTTTTTTTTGTCAGTCAGATTTATCTTTGCAGCTCTCAGTTTTCCATGGGCATCCTCACTGGATGAAAAAAATATTCACGTAGTAAATCATAAAAATTTTAATGTCATGGAATTAGCGGAGTCATTATTTCACTAAATTGTCTTATCTTCCTTTGAAGATTTATTTATTTGAGAGAAAGGGAGAGAGATGCATGCATGGGCACGTGTGCATGAGCTGGGGGAGGGGGAGAGAATCCTCAGGCAGACTCCCCACTGAGCGTGGAGCTCATCATGGGCCTCGATGCCAAGACCCTGAGATCATGACCTGAGCTGAAATCAAGAGTCATTTCTCAATGGACTGACCACCCAGGCATCACTAAATTTTATTTTCTAAGTAAGATGAACATTGGTGTGATGCAGTTTTAAAATACGTAGTATAGTTTGTTCCGTTATAAAATAGGAGTATTATTTCTTTATCAGAAGTGATGTAAGTCAACCTAAGTTATAGCTTTTGTCTATTCTGAATTTATAAAGCAGCTGCTTTGTCGGTAGAGAGGGTTGACATTTAAATGATAAAGGATGAATCTCAAATCATAATAGAGATTTGTTCAGAAGTGGTGGGTCTTTTAGCCACAGAAAGAGTTGCTCCTTTCTAAATTGGTATTTTCCTATTTTACCAGAGAGTATGAAGAGATAGGGTTCTTTTAAGAGAAAGACAAGCTAACTCTGAAAGCCTTTAATCTCTTTCCTCAACCACTTAATTCAGTGACCTTAACAAATAACTATGTAACTTATTTAACCAAAATATTTCATAGCACTATTTTTATCTTAAATATTCACTTTTGACTTTTTAAATTTACTGCCAGCCACCTTTACAATCACATCCTAGAGGGGAAATATATTGTCAGCAAAACACTGAGAGATAACATTCAAAGATATTTTCATAGTAAAAAAAACGTGTGTTTTGTTTTGTTTTTTTCTTCCAGAGAAGTATATCAGAGAATTCTCTCGTAGCAATGGACTTCTCAGGACAGAAAAGCAGAGTTATAGAAAATCCCACGGAAGCCCTCTCAGTCGCTGTTGAAGAAGGACTTGCTTGGAGGGTACAAATAGCTTCACATTCTTGAAAATATTTATGGTTTGAGTTTGTCTAACCCTAAAAGTTGAAATTTGTTTCCCCTTTCATTGTGCAGAAAAAAGGTTGTTTACGCCTGGCCACCCATGGCAGCCCAACTGCCTCTTCCCAGAGCTCTGCCACAAACATGGGTATGTCTGTGCCTGTTCGCAGGGACTGTTTGGATGGATGGGCACATGGGGGAGGTGACTGGGTAGCTCTGGTGGGAAGAATATGTAATTAAACTGGGAGGATTTCAAAGCTCTGTATTCTTCCATTTTATTTCTTCAGCCATTCACCGGTCCCAGCCATGGTTTCACCACAAAATTTCTAGGGATGAAGCTCAGCGGTTGATTATTCAGCAGGGACTTGTGGATGGGTAAGTTGGGTTTTGAATGGTCGTGATTTTGATTTCTCTTAGAATCAGTAATTACTTAGTTAATACACATAGTTTTGACTTCAAGTTATCATAAAACAGAAGTGACTTTGTTCTGGAGGTTACCATCATATCCTCGTAGTATCTAGATAATACCTTTATATTGCGTGTGCTTAGTACTTGTGCGTAAATGAACAGATAACAGAATAGGATCCTTCGCTGTTAACTAGTAACTACTCCTACTACCCATTCTGTGCCAATATTAGTATCTCAGTTAAAAGTGAACTTTTTGGGGCGCCTGGGGGGCTCAGTGGGTTAAGCCTCTGCCTTCGGCTTAGGTCATGATCTCAGGGTCCTGGGATCGAGCCCCGCATCTAGCTCTCTGCTCAGCAGGGAGCCTGCTTCCCCCGCCCCTCTGCCTGCCTCTCTGCCTACCTGTGATCTCTGTCAAATAAATAAATAAAATCTTAAAAAAAAAACCAAAAAACTGAACTTGTTTTGAGGTGTCAACAACATATAATATGATTCCAAAGTATGGTTTGTGTCATGACAGAATCTTACATGTTCTACCTCGGTTTAAGTTTGGTGCAGACTGCATTCAGTTAAAAAACTCTGTTTTATATATTTTGACGGCTTGTTTTATTTTTTTCCTGTTTATATTCCCATTTTCTCTAAATTTTCACAGCTTTAAGTAGTATAAACCTTTGAAAAGAGTACTTCTTGAGTGTTTCTCATGTCATCTTCTAGTGGGGTACCATGGGAGATAGAAGAGAAATGTAAATTGTATTATGAAATATTTACCATCTGAAGAGTTTTCTTTTTCTCAAATGACTTGGTGTTTCAATTACTTCCTGTAATGCTGGCTAAACTCCCTTTTCAAATGCAGTGCAAATCAAGGAGGCTGTATTGAGGTTTGGATGAGAAACCAGCGTCAATTTAAACAAGTGGTGATGGGGTCTTTTATCTTCAAGGGTTGGCTTAAGATGATGACAAGATTTCAAGGTGATTTAATACTGACATTTGGATAAAAATGCATCCTCACATGGAAGATTATTAATAGCAAGTCAGCATTTCACTAGACTGTATATAAGAGAAGATTTTAATATACTTCTCTATGTGGAGCAGCCTTTTTAGATATAAATTTGAACAATCAGCGGAATTACAATCTGATGAGACCAAGAAGAGAAATAAATCATAAAGAATTGTTAAAATGTTTTGGAGGATTATAATTTCCCTACTTTCAAGCCTAGTTTTTATAAGTTGAATGAAATAACTACATAAAAAATGGTAATATCTTTATTTTTTTTTTAATTTTTAATAAAAAAAATGGAGGAGTGGGGGCAGAATCCTTTGGAAAGATGTGATGATGCCAGGCAGTCCACTAGATGGTAGTGGTGATCCGCTCGGGGATGGGGAAGGAATTACAGCGTGCTTTATGAGTGAACCTCCCTTTTGTCCCATCTCCCAGTGATGTAATGTAGGAATCTCACACAGTACAAATGAAATGGATAATCTCATCCGACATCTGTGATGGCTCAAATTCCGTGCCCAGGCACAGTGAGATTAGCACTGGAGTCACCAGAGGGGATTGTTTGCACAATCTGTTTGCCAACAATTAACACAAAAAAATCTGGTTTTTGCCCCGTATTGCCAGCAGATAAGAATCCACGCCTGGCAGCATTTTTCCTCATAGGCCATTAGGTCATGTCTTACATTTTGCTAGCCTGACATTATAGAGGCTTTTCTGCTGCATTCTTCTAGATTAAAATATATGTTGTTTCGGTGTTTCTTTTCCTTAAAACATTGTACCCAAACATTGAATAGATGATTTCAGGGTTGATATTTTTAGAATATATTCATTTCTCACTTTCTGTTGTATATGTAACATAGGAACCAGAGTCAAAAGAAAAGGGATCAGTGTTGAAGAGGGGTTTAAAATGATTTCATTCTAAATAATTTTCTCTTTTCAGGGACTAACATAATGCAGTAGTTCAAGTAATAATACGCTAATGCCCCATTCTCTGCACAAACTTGTTACATGTAAATACCCAATTCTCCAATGGAAAAAGAACATAGCACTAATTATTGATGTCAGCATGGCATTATGTTGCTTATTATGAGTGAACAATCTGACAAATGGGCTGTATATTTATACTATTAAAATGAAACTAGCACTGATGACAGTTTTATAGAATAAGATTATGTTATACCATATTGCTTACCATGTTGGATACTCTCATCTTTGAATACACAGAAAAGGAAAACTCTGACTACATTTATAAATGTATCTCCTGGGTTTGTTACATGCTATATTTTTATGAAATATGTGAGTAAATATAGAAACATATTAAAATTCCTTCTCTCTCTTTAGAGTTTTCTTGGTACGGGATAGTCAGAGTAACCCCAAAACTTTCGTACTGTCAATGAGTCATGGACAAAAAATAAAGCATTTTCAAATTATACCAGTAAGTAATTTGTGATTTCACATTCGTATATTAGAGATGATCTTAGTGCATAAGCTTTTGGAAACTGGTTTTCTTTGGATCTTTTATTAAATATAACTGGGGAGCTTGTGTTTTGACTAGACTTAAGTTTGGCAGAAATGATTTTATGAGCCTGAATTCATATAAGAAATACAGGAATTATAAAAATTAAATTTCCCTTTTTCCATGAAATATGATTTACCAATATTGTATAGACCCCATGCCACCTATTGTTAAAAGGCCACCAAAGATTCTTTCTGAATTCTACTAGCGGTTCTCTAAAAACTATTATTTTCAAACCCTTGCTCCTTTCTTATCTCAAATAGGTTTTTTTGTTTTCCTAGTTTTGTTTTTAATCATGATGGATAGATACACAGGTGCTGCAGAACCGGAGAACATTTAAACCATTCTGAGCACATTTCAAAAATATCTGTAATTCTGTTTCTTGGTGGCACAACTTGGCTTTAGGATTTTTGCTGCTCTCCTGCTGATATTCTCCATGTGTGTGTGCATGTGTGTATGCACATGATCTGTGTGTCAGAACCTGATGGGGTGGAATAGAGATCCCATCTACTTTCAGGGGAATTTACATATGATTGCTACCTTGCTAGCATTTCCTTTTGAATGGCCTCTTTTTGGAATTATCCAAAGTCCGTAAGAAGTATCTTCCCAACTTCACTGTGTGTGTAAATAATGTCCCTGGGTGAGTATGGGTTGTTGAATGTCACCAGTCCTCACTGCCAGGAAAAAAAGCAGAAGAAGAAGAAGCAGCTGTCATCCCCTTAACATAATGTCTGGTTGCTTCAGAATCAATTTATGGGTAGAAATTATATGAATATTTCTTTCTAATTTACTAAGTGAGGCTGTTAGATAGACAACATTCAGATACAGAGATTAATGTCTGTGGAAGCATTAACATCTTCTGTTTACTTTTATACTGAATAGTGCAGATTTCTCACCGTTTCTTGATTTATAGTAGTCACACTATTCTAACTACAGAATGTTGGGAGAATTTGAGGTAGAGAAAGTAGAGCCACCCCGTGCATCCTAGGGTCAGATGATATTTCATCTGTGTACAAGTGAAGTTATAGAAAAAAAGTGGACCCATCATAAGGGTTTTTTCCCCGCTATCTTTAGTTTTATCCACCTATCCATTTCAGTGTCTGAAGACATAATATGCAATAGAGTATGGCTGTCCTTGTGGGTTTTTGCCCTTCTTACCAGTTTGCTGTTTTCCCTCCACTAGGTGGAAGACGATGGGGACCTGTTCCACACTCTGGACGATGGCCACACGAGATTTACGGATCTAATCCAGCTGGTGGAGTTCTATCAACTCAATAAGGGCGTTCTTCCTTGCAAGTTGAAACATTATTGTGCTAGGATTGCTCTTTAGCCAAACCAGAAGTGACTTGTTAAACTGTTGAAGAAAAAGGACTCACGACGGAAAAAAAAAAAAAAGAAAGAAAGAAAAGAAAAAGAAAGACCATAAACAAGGGAGAAACACGTTGCCATGGTGAAAAGAATCTATTTCACCTACAAGTTACAAAAAATAGCTTGTGCATTGCAGATAAGCAAAGATTTGGATTGACATTACATTCATCATCTAAAATTCATTAGTTAAAATTAAATCTTGGAAAAAATGATTTGGTGTGTTCTTGTGTGATTTTACATAACTATAGTATTTTCATCAAATATGCATATAAAACATCTCTCTGTCCTCATTTACTAGAGTAGCATTTGAATTCTCAAACAAAATATGAAGAAAACTTGAAGGTTCTGAATGAATTATTTGCAGACTGGATTTCAATTACAGTGCTTGTTTGTAACTTAGGAAGAATGATAAAATCTCAAGCTATCAATTGAAAAAGCTACCCACAACTTGTTAATAAAACTAAAAAGTATTTTTGAATATTATATATTTTCTGAGTTTATTATAATCTTAAAATCAAATCGTATTTTCAAGTATCAGTTTAAAATTATTTTTGAAATATATTGGGGTTTTTTTCAGGGTGACTTTTATTAGGTTCTTAAATTATTACTATACTATAATATTTACACTGTACCTATTAGTGGTACATTATTGATTGCATTTTATTTCACTCTTTTTAAAGACTAACCGGAACTATCTTTTCAAAGAAAATGATCAAGATATAGAAGGGCCTTACATAATTTACACATGACTTCTTGTGGCCTATAATCTATGACAGTTGTCACCTTATATTTCACATTTGCCCCCTGCTGTAACTTTCAGAAAGCTCTTTATATCCTTTCACTACTTGATCATGAACCTGATCAAAATTGGTGAGATCAAAGATTTAAAGTTTATGACGTCCCTAATAGGCAAATTTGTGCTATTCTTTCTGCCTAACCCCTTTGCAGTTTCTTACCTTGGCAACATCAGTACAGAAACCAAAAGTTTTAAAAAACTCGAAACACTCACCTCCCTTATCGCCTCTCTGAGACCATGTGGGAAGTTTTTGTTGGGATTCTGTGACTCTTCTTTTTCCTACTTTTTGTGGGACGGCTATTCACTGTTCCAAAAAAAAGAAAAGAAAAACATCAAATTAAAATCATTCAAAATATGCTCATCTCCTCTAATTGATCCTATAACAACACTGTGGGAAAGTTACGATGATTCCTTGAAAACATTTCAAAAATACATTCTTTGGTTTTACATAAAGGTTTTACATTTTTTACAACAAAGCATCTGAAAACCTTCATGAAGTGCTACTAAACCAGTTATTACTGAAAAAATATTGGTGGAATGTAAAAAAATATTCAGTTTATTTTCAGCCAAGGCAAACCCAATTCTTAAAACACTGAAACTTAGAACATGACTCTGATGTTATAAAATATCCATCTGGTGTCCACAAGGGCTCGGAAGACACACAGAACCTCCATCCACATGGGAGGGTGAGAGGTAAACAACATTGGCCCTTTCAACCTTTCAGAATAGCCCTGAGTATTTCTGACTTATTTCCAATTTATAAAAGCAGTTTGTGTTTTGAATTGAAATGAATTTTCTCATTTTGCACCCAGTTTAAATTGACAATATCAGAGGATGTCATATTTTAAATACTAGACTCGTAAATTGACCAATCTGTGCTTGTCTTTGTTATTTGTGTCTCTGGCTTCATTCACAATCTAAATTTATTATTGTGCAGCCTGGATGTTGTATGTAATTGCTTACTTTGATCTTAAAGCATGAGTCAAGCAAAATTACTGAGGAAAGGTAGACCTTATCCTTCATGATTCCTTCTGATAAATAAGGTTTTGAATGTGTGTTTGTGTGTACATGTGTGTAAATCTGATATGAAATTAAATCTGAAAATATCAGACATACTCAGCATTAGTACAGCATTAAAATGGATTTCCAAGAAAAATGTGAATTATCTTTGGGTTATTTTTCATTTGATACAGTCAAGTACTACTATTTTGTACTATTTCAGATAAGAATTAGGATATCTGAGTTCTTCTTTACTTTTTTCTTTCTTTTTTTTTTTTTATTAACATATAATGTATTATTAGCTTCAGGGGTACAGGTCTGTTAATCAACAGTCTTACATAATTCACAGCACTCACCATACCACATGCCCTCCTCAGTGTCCATAACCCAGCCACCCTGTCCCTCCCCCACTCTCCAGCAAACCTCAGTTTGTTTCCTGAGATTAAGAGTCTTTTATGGTTTGTCTCCCTCCCTGGTCCCATCTTGTTTCATTTTTCCCCTCCATTCCCCTCATGACCCCCCCCCAACTTGGCCTCACAAATTCTTCATATCAGAAAGATCATATGATAATTGTCTTTCTCCGACTGACTTATTTCACTTAGCATAATGCCTTCTAATTCCATCCATGTTGTTGCAAATGGCAGGATTTTGTGTTCTTTTGATGGCTGCATAGGAGTCCGTTGTATGTATATATCACATCTTCTTTATCCATTCATCTGTTGATGGACATGTAGGTTCTTTCCATAGTTTGGCTATTGTGGACATTGCTGCTATAGACATTTGGGTGCACTGCCGCTTCAGATCCCTACATTTGAATCTTTAGGGTAAATACCTAGTAGTGCCATTGCTGGATCTTCTTTATCTATTCATCAGTCAATGGACACTCGGGCTTTTTGCATGATTTAGCTACTGTTGATAATGCTGCTACAGGCATCGGGGTGCATGTGCCCCTTTGAATTGGTATTTTTGTATCCTTTGAGTGTATATCTAGTAGTGCAATTGCTGGGTTGTAGGGTAACTCTATTTTCAGCTTTTTGAGGAACCTCCATGCTGTTTTCCAGAGTAGCTGCACCAGCTTGCATTCCCACCAACAGCGTAGGAGGGCTCTGCTTTCTCTGAATCCTCACCAACATCTGTTGTTTCCTGACTTGATGATTTTAGCCATTCTGACTGGTGTGAGGTGGTATCTCATTGTGGTTTTGATTTGTATTTCCCTGATCCCGAGTGATGTGGAGCACTTTTTTGTGTGTCTGTTGGCCATTAGGATGTCTTGTTTACAAAAACATCTTTCATGTCTTCTGCCCATTTCTTGGTTGGATTATTTGTTCTTTGGGAGTTGAGCTTGATAAGTTCTTTATAGATTTTGGGTACTAGCCTTTTATCTGATATGTCATTTTGCAAATATCTTCTCACATTCTGTCAGCTGTCTTGGTTTTGTTGACTGTTTCCTTTGCTGTGCAAAAGCTTTTTATATTGATGTAGTCCCAGTAGTTCATTTTTGCCCTTGCTTCCCTTGCCTTTGGTGATGTTTCTAGGAAGAAGTTGCTGCACCTGATATCCAAGTGTTTGCTGCCTGTGTTCTCCTCAAGGGTTTTGATGGATTCCTATCTCACATTGAGGTCTTTCATCCATTTTGAGTCTATTTTTGTATGTGGTGTAAGGAAATGGTCCAGTTTTATTCTTGTGCATGTGGCTGTCCAATTTTCCCAACACCATCTGTTGAAAAGACTGTATTTTTTCCACTGAACATTCTTTCCTGCTTTGTCAAAGATTAGTTGACCATAGAGTTGATGGTCCATTTCTGGGCTCTCTATTCTGTTTCATTGATCTATGTGTCTGTTTTTGTGCCAGTACCATACTGTCTTGATGATTACAGCTTTGTAATAGAGTTTGAAGTCTGGAATTATGATGCCACCAACTTTGGTTTTCTTTTTCAACATTCCTCTGACTATTCAGGGTCTTTTCTGGTTTCATATAACTTTTAGGATTATTTGTTCCATTTCTTTGGAAAAAAAAGTTGATGGTATTTTGATGAGAATTGCATTAAATTTGTAGATTGCTCTAGGTACCATAGACATTTTTGCAGTATTTGTTCTTCCAATCCATGAGCAAGGAACATTTTTCCATTTCTTTGTGTCTTCCTCAATTTCTTTCCTGAGAGCTTTATAGTTTTCTGAGTGCAGATTCTTTGCTTCTTTGGTTAGGTTTATTCCTAGGTATCTTATGGTTTTGGGTGTAATTGTAAATGGGATTGACTCCTTAATTTCTCTTTCTCCTGTCTTGCTGTTGGTGTATAGAAATACAACTGATTTCTATGCATTGATTTTATATCCTGATGCTTTATTGAATTCCTGTATGAGTTCTAGCAGTTTTGGAGTGGAGTCCTTTGGGTTTTACACATAAAGTAATACATCATCTCAAAGAGTGAGTGTTTAACTTCTTTGCCGATTTGGATGGCTTTTATTTCTTTTTGTTGTCTGATTGCAGAAGCTAGGACTTCTAGTACTATGTTGAATAGCAGTGGTGATAGTGGACAGCCCTGCTGTGTTCCTGACCTTAAGGGAAAAGCTCTCAGTTTTTCCCCATTGAGAATAATATTTGCTGTGGGTTTTTCATAGATGGCTTTTATGATATTGAGGTATGTATCCTCTATCCCTACATTGTGAAGAGTTTTGATCACAAAAGGATGCTGTACTTTGTCAAATGCTTTTTCAACATCTATTGAGAGTATCATATGGTTCTTGTTCTTTCTTTTATTAATGTATTGTATCACATTGATTTGTGGATGTTGAACCAACCTTGCAGCCCAGGAATAGATCCCGTTTGGTCATGGTGAATAATCCTTTCAATGTACTGTTGGATCCTATTGGCTAGTATTTTGGTGAGAATTTTTGCATCTGTGTGCATCAAGGATATTGGTCTGTAATTCTCCTTTTTGGTGGGGTCTTAGTCTGGTTTGGGGATCAAGGTGATGCTGGCCTCATAAAATGAATTTGGAAGTTTTCCTTCCATTTCTATTTTTTGGAACAGTTTCAAGAGAATAGGTATTAATTCCTCTTTAGACTTTTGGTAGAATTCCCCTGGGAAGCTGTCTGGCCGTGGGCTCCTGTTTGTTGGGAGATTTTTGATGACTGCTTCAATCTCCTTACTGGTTAGGGGTCTGTTCAGGTTTTCTATTTCTTCCTGGTTCAGTTTTGGTAGTTTATATGTCTCTAGGAATGCATTCCTTTCTCCCAGATTGTCAA